AACTACGTAGCTAAAAGGTTAAAGGCAGGGCAAGCGAAGGTAGGGTACAAAATATAAAATTTCAGTATTTTAATTATATTTTTATTGTCTTTTCAATATTACGGATGCAATCTTTTACAATATTGCTGGTGCAAGACAATTCACTTTTATCAAGATACACTGTAACAATATTGATGAAGCTGTGGCTTGAATAATAAAGTTTTGTATATTCGTTTGTTGAATATATTAATTTTATTATTTTAATTTGATTGATTTAACTGACATTTTTGCTCAATACAATAGTTTTTCGTAAATTAACATGTTTTGTTAAATGTTAATTCACGTTTTTGGAGAAATTGTGACCATTTTGCAGTCCTAAACAGCAATAGGGGGCATTCAACAACTCTTTTTTTTGTCTGTCCATAAGAACTACAATTTAAAAACGCATAATTCAATAAAAGTAATGAATTTTACATTTTCATGATTCAGCTCTCAGAATCCGATTTATTGGTCAGGGAGCTTTGTTTTTTAATGAAAACACGCAAAAAGAATTAGCCTCTAATTTCATCGCCCATCTATTCTTTTTATCCTGAAAGGTAAATTTTGTCGGTTATCGTACTGCAAGGATACTATGACCGAACATGGCCGGCAGAACAAAAGTTCGGAGGGCGAACTTGCTCGGTGTAATCGGGTAGTAACTTCTCCCCCGCGATTTTTCGCCGAACGAACGAGCCTTCGTTCGGAATCGCTTGCTCGCGCAGTGTAAATTCACCATGGGCGAGCTTAAACTGTCACGTTCGGTGTTGGTTGGTGGTATCAAATACTATACTGTCCGGGACTGAGTTCTCCGACCGCGGGATGGAAGGGACGTAGGCCTCTTTCAAGAAACGGAGCGGTGGTGGGGAGGACATCCCGGCCGTCGACGTAAAAACATTTTTTATCTACGATCGCGGACATTTTTTTGCCATGATTATTTTAGTTTATTCTAACTTACCTTATTCAGAATCTGTTGGTGATCTGCAGGCCTTCACTCTCTGATGAATCACTTTCGGAAGTCCAAATTAACAATTATTCCGTCAATGAGTTCCGGTACAAGACCATCTTTTTTCCCAATAATCACTTTCTATTTTTTCCACGTGCCTGCAAAATCCTTGCTAGTCCTGCACGGTGACCTCTTGTTTCAATGTTTTCTTGCAACTTGGTAACTGACATATCACCTGTTGTTCCGAATTGTCGCACTTGTCAAAGTATTAGTGGACTGTATGAAGGATTGATAATTGAATTGGGTTTAACAGTGAAGCAGATTAAAACCCTTTGTTAGCTCAAGGAGACTGCTGGTACGGGTTGGACCTCTCATCTGATAAAATCAAGCAGTTGGCACACAGTTCCCTTTTTATTTATTCCAGAAGGCAAGTCACTGTATTACAGTAAAACAGTTGGATCGTTGTGATCTTGTTTCACCTTGCACACAACAGATGTAAGTCTTTTCGTGAATACCCACACGAGCGAGACACGTTTAGTTGCACAAAAGTTTAACGTTGGAGTACTAATTAAATAAGATTGTTAATTTTCTTCGCAAGTCATCAGGCCGATTCGCGTATGCATTCGAGTCGCTGCCGCCGGTAGTTCTCAAGCGATTAGCACAATTAACTTCAAAGGATACAAAATGAAGCTACATGCTTCGTAAGATTTGTTTAACGTGAATCTTCATCACGGAGTTCGAGTAACGTTTGGCTCGAATGGTGTTTACTCAGAGACTAACGCGACCGTTTCTTGCAGCTTGCGACTATATCTCGGGGCATGGAAGGGATGGCGATTAGCCAATCCTGAATCAGAATACAACTGTGTTTAAATCGTTCGCCCGTTGGCGTGGCAAGAGGTGGTGGCAAGGGGTGTACATACTCTCGCCCGTGTGGGTATCATTTCTGAGAATGTCTCAGTGCGCCGGCTGGCAGCTGGCGTGTTGCGCAATACTGTGCGCTTGGCAGTTTCTCCCTGCAAAGGCTTGTAACGGATTTACAGAATGATTAGTGGAATACAGCCTACGCAACAATGATCGCTTGCCTTGCGTGGTGATTGATTCCTTATGCAATATTTCTATGTGTGACCGAACACCTGTTACATTTCGCTTCCTACACATTCCGCTGTACGCCTGTACCCAAGCAAGTTCAATTAGGTTCATCTCACACATGTAGGGAGGGAGTCGTAAAATTGTGTGTCCATGTGTTGCTAGCAACTCATCAATCTTGTACTGCTTAGCGCGTGGTTTGAGAGGTGCAATTAATCGGTGCCAATCAGTCTTACGCATACTTTCTTCACAATGCACTCCCTTTCTTTGAAGCCATACAATCATGTAAGCTGCTCTTGAGTATGCGGATGGCGTCTTGTTGACTTCCATACTGTGGTATGGAGCATTGTCAAGAACAACAACAGCATGCTGTCGTAGATGTGGCAATGATTTTTCACGCACCCATTTCTCAAAATTAATGCCATTCATTTGGCCGTGGTAGTCTCTCACAGTACTACAAGCTCGAAAGATTAGACACGTGTCGCAAAGAAATCCATCCCCCCCCCCTGCGTGAACAATTATTAGTCTACTTGTTGCATTTTCCATCACTTGGACACCACAAACGTCATCACTCTGCCAGCACTTTTGAAATTTAAGAGTGTTATCAACCCATGTCTCATCCACATAGATGATATCTCAGATCTCTTCTCGAAATTGAACAATGTATCTGGATTTCCAATCCACTATGTTCGGTCTCTCTATCAGCACCCGCCGCTTTGATTGGCACATTTTCCATTTAAAACCCATTGATTTCATAACCCGCAATAAAGATTTTGGGCCCCAAGGAAAATTAATTTTGCCCTTAATAACTGGAAGAAGCTTTAGCACCGTCGGCACCAATTTTTCTCTCATGTAGAAATCAAGAATCGTATTTCGAATGACACCCTGGTCAAAACTATCTACATGGACAGAATTGCCACGTGAAACTCTCCTCTTCTTACCAGGAGACTTCAGCTCCTGATTTGGGCTATTCTCATTTCTCTTTTTATTTTCTTTCCGAATGGCTTTGATGGTGGTAAGTCTAACTCTTGTGTATTCGGAGGCTCTTTCACTCGCTTTCATTAAAGGTAAATATAAACATTTATCTTCTTTCTCCTTATCACATATTTCAATCACACGGGTAATGATTCTCGCTGTGTATAATCGTATTAGTAACTCTCTTTGCCATGATGAGAAACTAATGGTTTTCGCACTTAACACTCGGGTCCTGCCACAAGCGAACTATGTAGCCGCTCCGATGTTCTTGGAACGGTTGCGATTATGTCACATTGTGGGTGCAGTGAAAGCCATCCCCTCCTACCCTGCCGCTCGCCCCGCGCGAAAACTAACACCTCACCGGCGGTCGGAAAACTTGGGAAAACTGTACTCGGACGGACAGTAGAGACAATACAGGACACTACCCCGTTCTTCCACGCAAACCCGGTACTTCAGCGCTAAATGAAGATATTAAAATGATTCTTACGGAAGAAATACATTTTTTTAAAAATTACTTAACGAAATAAGAGTCATTTTTACGTACTTTTTCTGTGAATTAATTATATTGAATGGCTCAAATAACGGAAAATAATAATGTACAAAAGAAATGTTTTATATATTCCAAGAATAAAATGGTTACAAATGCAAGATTTTACTTGCCTTAACGCTTTTAGTGATACATTTAGTATTTTTTTTTCATTTGCTTTATTTGAAAAGCACTATCTTACAATTAGTATACTCCTCACATAGAATATTTTCCAATTGAATATTAATGATTTGCATTAATTGATTCTTGACCTCAAGTTTACTGTGACGTAAACAATTTAAAAAGTCTCTATCGAAAACATACTAGTCTTAGAAAACAAACTAATGGCTAATTCAGTTGGGTAGAAAAGAGTGGCATTCACGTACTGCTTAGTCAGAAAATGCGAGTTTCTTAATTTATGCTTTTCATCTACATTGGATTAACTATTTTTACATGAAGAACGAACGTGAGTTTTTTTGAATTTCGTAATTAAAACAGCCGAAAACTTCACACATTTTTCCTGCCATTAGGAAGGATGTCAAGAACAGTATTGTAAAATAGTTTTCCAGAAATTGTCCAGAAAGATAATCGAATTAAAACAAAGCGAGCAGAAAACAAACACCAACAGAGCACTGAGCTTAGGCTGTATGAGTTTTCACCAGGTTCCGTCACTAGATGAAGCTGGCATCATTGTTTCTCGATATATCGCGAAGTGTCCTGTATTGTCTCTATAGATGATGGTATTAGTCCATAGAGGAGAGATACAACTTTGTATCTCTCCTCTATATATTAGTCGGCGTTACTGTCAAAGAGTATACAGGACTTTCAAGCAGCGAAGAATAATCTTCCATGATACAAATTTCAAGAATTGACATAGGCCATTTTGGTTGCATCTTTATGCGATAGAGGGCTCTGACGCTCGATGGCAAAATTCAATATGGCGGGATACGGTCTTATCCCAATGTTAAGCTAATGGTTGTTAGACGCACCTTTATAATAATGTATACATTTGAAGTTTGGGTTAAACGGAGTGTTTAAACGTTATGGGCAGCCAATCATAAACTTCGTATAAGATGTGCGATGTATGTGCCGAGTTCTTGGATCTATTACAATCATGTAAGCTTATGAATCTGGTTCTTCTACTTGTCACTCACTTTAAATAAGAAGTCTGTGAAAGTGTGTACATTTGTCATTGGCATTTCTCGTGAGTAAAGTCGTGTAGTAATTGATCACTTTTGTTGGAATTCTTATAGCTTATTCTTGTCTGACAGTTGATAAGAGGAAAAAAAAATGTTCGGCTTGCAGACGCATCTTTTCTAAAGAACGATTGATTACGAAAAAGTACCAATATTATAGGGTTTGATACTGTCTCCTTCAAGTACATTTTCTTATGAAATATTGATTTGTGTAGGTTAAGCGGGCCCGAACTGCGTGCTGTTCATTGTAAATGAGATGTTGACAAATGGGTATCAACGTATTTTGTTGACTAGTTTTCTTGTGGATATGAAAGCAGATAGTAGTGATAATAAGCACGGCTGCAGAGAAATAATCCCTCTTTTATTTTTACAGACGAAGAAAAAGTTTCAAAAGAATCAGATGATCGTCCTTTGCTTCAAAAAGATGAAGTGGAGATTGTCTTCTTATACATTCAATCATGGTCACAAAGGTAAGATCACAAACGTTTTGTATTGTAATTGGAAAATATCTACTATATAATTTTTTTGTTTTTTTCCAGGCAGTGTATGTGCTGCTTCCGTGATCCCAAGAATTATGAAAGATTTAACTTGATAACACAAAGTATAATATGTTTAGCCGTTTGTCAGTTAAAGGAATTAAGGGATGATTTAGCCAAAGCAAAAGCTAAAGCAGAAAAGAAGAATGTAGATAGTAACAGAGAAGATAGTGAAAAAAGAAGTTACAATGACAGTTCAGTAATAGAGACTAGTAGTGTTCGAGGAGCTATTGGGGGGAAAAGTGCTAATGGTGCTAAAGAATATAGGGGCAGTGGAGAAAAAAGAGACAAAGTATCAGAGGAACGTAGTAGAGGTGGGACCAAAGAAAAAGGTGATCCTATGAAGGAAGATGTGGATGAGGATGATGATGATGGGGAGGAGGAAGAAGATGAAGAAGAATGGAGTATTCAAGAGAAGGAGAAGCTGTTACATTTCTTGTCAAAAGTATTTCTGCTCAATTTTCCCTTGTATGTGGCCTACAAGCACACAGTGCAAGCAAAGCTAGAGGAGATCTCTCAACAAGAAGCGAGCAGTTTAAATGTGTTTTGTGATCTCCATGACCCAGAGATTCCAGTTTACTTGTTGCGTAATGTGTGTTTATTCTGTAAGAGTGGTGGTGTTCATGCCATGACTTTCTGTTTTGAAAGACAGAATCCTGACACATTGCCTGTTTCTCTGGCTCATGCAATGATTGCAATTGTTTGCAACCTCAAGCTTTGGCTCAATTTTCGTTCTATCATGCAGTTATTTGTTCCATTGCGAGCTAAAGTGCTACGTTACATGTGTTCGCTTGCTGATAAGGATTTACGTTTACCTGGTATCAAAACTATGGCAGGTGAGATGGTTTTAGAATTTCATTTCTAAATATTTTTAGTGAAATTTGTATTGTATAGTTTACTTAAACATATATATTTATGTGAAAATGAATATTTGTTGTTAATAAAACATTGGATTATGAATGTTACCTAATACTTGATTTGAAACTGATGTCTGTGCTTGGTATGAAAAATTTGATTGAGGATATATTAATTTCTGGAAATAAAAGCAAGCCAAACTTACATAATGAAATTAAAAATCTTGGCTAATACCTGGGAAATAAATTGTCTCATGAAAAAATTCCATTTATGTGTATATTTTTGTAGAGAAAATTGTATGGTTCTTATTATTTGGCAGAATTTGCCAGGGTATTTTTATGAGATATGGTAGCTGAGAAAAAATTGAATCTTACAAGGGAATGATATATCTTGTCGTGTTGAAAAGTGCATTGACTTGTTTTCAATGGTAGATAGGGTGGTACGTGGTTCAGTTGCAAAATTTAAGCTCCTTGAAGAAACAGGAAGTTACTCTAAAAAAGTTACAAATCTTGATGACATGTGGAGTAAGGAATTTGACAACTCTTTGGGTATCCCCAGTCCACACTTCCCTTTGCAAATCAAACTACACTTTTCTTATCTGAAAATGTATATGCTACTGAGAACTCTTGAATAACATATTGAATTATTTGCTCCTGGTATTCAAAAATAGATATGCATGCAACAATAAATATTAATATTTTTTGTGCTTAACGCAAAGAATAAATATTGTCAAATAAGGAGGATTTATTATGATTTTTCTTTGCTAGTTATGGAATTGTTATTCATATTTATTTATACAAATGAATAACAAATCTTGATTGTATTTCATTGTTTCTCATCTTTTGACTCCAATAGTTACAGCTAAAAGCTTACTTGCATGGTTCCATCATTTACTGTGCAAAACTGGGAAGATTCCAGTGCTAAAAAACATGGAAATTGAATTGTTTATTTTTTGAGTAATTTCCTGTTTGACAGCTTTCACTACTTGGCAGTGCTTGATTTATTACATCCTGGGATGCGCCTCTAAGTTAGAGTAAAATAGAAATAGTTATATATTTATAATGTAATTTAATATTTATATCCCTGGTACCAGAATGTTGTTCTGTTGCGTTGAGCCAGAAATGAAGCCCTGCTACTTATTAACCACATGAGACTCACACGCCAACATTCAAGTTGGATTTTGACACAATCCAATAGCCCTGTATTAGATTTTATTGTTTTATGATACCTTTGAATAGATTATTAACTAAGTAAAAATTTCCATGAGAAATGGTTTGCCTCTCTTAAAAGATTGATTCTCCTTTCTTAATGTGTATAGTGAAATACTTTTGTATGTGCAATTTTAGGTAAATATGTAATGATGTCGGTTATTATCAGTATAAGGAGTGAAATTGGAAATCCAGAAATATCAGATTCCTGTAGAAAAAATAATTATAGTTGCAAAAAGTGTGAAAATTTGTCTATCCACTTTTCAATGTATGTTTCATGAGGAGGGTTCGGTTTTTGAGGCACTTTAAATGGGCTTGTATGAAATTAAAATATTAAGTAGTTTAATAATGTCAAATAAATATGTTTAAAAATACTTTATTCAATGTAAATTTTATTTAAATGAATAAAATTTACATTTGTAATATAGAATGTGGCATTGGATTAGAGATTGGCAAGCCTTTATAATTGTGATTCACCAAATTGGACGGTTCACTAATGCAATCTTCAGATTTCAAATGCAAATCTTTGGTTTTTCACAATATGCTGTTTGAATCTCACAATTAAAATGAATGCTCTATTTGGTGGGGTGGGTAATAAAAAAAAATGCATGATCGTTTTTCTTTTATTTTGTTGTTTTATTTTATTGTGCAAAATGGGAAATATGTATACAAATAAAGAATTAGGTCAGGATTAACACTTTTCACCTGTTAAATTTTGAGATGGTAAGCTTGAGTTTTAAAACATTAATTCTATCGTGGTTTTATTAAGAGTATCCCACTCACAAGTTATTTCTGTTTAAGCTGATATTCAAAATTCTGTGTTTTACTCAAGTTGTGGGTTATGAGTCTTAAAAATGTTAGCTTATTGTGCAATTAAATGTTAAGATATTATTTGTATGATGTATTACTTTTTATTCTCTTTTGGGCAAAAATCCTTTAGTTATAAGGAGGGGATTCTGGATATAACTTGTATAATGCAGCTCTTTGCATAATAGCTCTTTGTGAAACTCAAAATTCCTTGAGAATTTACCTGGCAGGGAACACTTCTAGAATTGTAAAAACACACTTTTAGATTGTAGAAACATATCTTGAACAGCAAAGTCAGTCTGCAATCCAGTAAGTCTGGAGGGAATTCTGTTCTTCTTACAAGGAAGTGTATAAAAAGTCATGTGACTGAATCACAGACCTACTTACTTTTATTATTATTTACATTTATGCCTGTCCTTTCTTACTTGGTAAATCAGTAGGTGAGAAACCCTGATACTAGAAAGTGTAGTTTCTTGAGGTACAGTCTAAAACAATTAGCGCCTACCAATTAGAGGATTAGGATAATGGTTGAATAACAGTTGGAACAATTTAGTCACCTCATTTGTTGTGAATATTGTATCGAATATTTACATCACACCAAAATCAGGTATACGATTGATTTGAACATTTGTTTTTAACATAAAAAAATGTAAGGTAAATTGTGATAATGGTGTAATATGAATAGTTTGGTGCCTTGGTTTAAATAATTTATTTGGGTACCTTGTTGAATTTTTATTACAATGACTTGTTATTGTAATAAATTAAATAAATGCAGTTTGTGGGCTCACCACATGCAGATGTACGTTCACGTCAACTTTCCTTTGATTTGTCAGTATGCCAAAGTTTTTCCAGTAAACGTTTACAATGTTTATTAAATACTGCATATTATCCTTCCATAAATAGAAAGCAGTCTTAAAATCGATTGTTTCATATGTTTTTTCTTTTAGTTATGATGATAGTTCAATTGCTAAAAGTTCTTTATCTATGTCTTTGTCTATGGGTCTTATTTCTTATCCTTCTAATTGCTTATTCTAAAAGTATGACTTTGCTCTAGTCTTTCTCCATCTGCTTTGTCTTTTCATGCAATCATACAATCTTTAACCATGCGTTGCAAGACATTTTAAAGAAAAATAATAAATTAAGTTTATTAGCTCACAGAACTTGCTCTTTCATAGTTCTGGCTAGGTAATAGCCTTTTTACTTTTACTCATTTGTTCTTAGTAGCATGATACCTGCATGCCATGCACATCATAATGGTTTTATGGAGATTTGAACTTCTAGATCTGAAATATAATGTTGAATGTTTCAGATTTTATGTGGAGTGCTGTAAAAGACCCACTGGATTCTCCTCTTACATTTGATCGAGATGGTTTGGACTTGGCTTTTAAATATTTTACTAGTTCAACATTGACAATGCGATTAGCTGGAATTGCACAGATAAATAGTCATATCAATATGTTTAATGAATTGTGCAATAGTGAAAGCATTGTGGAGGTGGAAAGTGTAGGTCAGAGTCTAGCAAACTGGTTAATAGACAATAACATCATATCACATATTTTCGGACCCAACCTCCATGTAGAGGTGAGTATATCAAACATTTTTTTAGTATCTTATGTAGATATGTGTATGAGGAATTTATCAAGTTCCATTTTGAAAAAGTTTTACAAATTTTGTAATTATATTTCTGAATATAACTTTCTAATCTACTAATAAGGTATTCAAAGAAAAAGGGTTTTTATTTTCTCCCATGGTTCAGGATTATGAAATGTATTGCACAACAGAGAAAAAATTCTCATAACATAAGAAAATGTGTATTTCAATAAGGCATTTAATTAGAGATAAAATATTGTTTTCATATTCATCTCTTACATAATATGAGATCACTTGTGCAACTACATAAATATTCCTTAGAAACATCTTCAAAGTATAATATAGTATGTATGTTCTATTTAACTCTGCAGGTTATCAAACAAAGCCATATCATCTTAAGTTTTTTGGCAATGGAATGCAAAATCACTAATGAGCACATGGATATCATCTGGCAAGCTGCCCAACTGAAACATTGTAGTCGCCAGGTTGGTTATTTCTATTCTGTGGTAGTTATTCTTAAAATGAGTTCTGAATGAATAAGACCATTGCCATAATGTAATTTGTTTTAGTATTTAGAAAGTTTATGAAGAAACATAAACATGAGAATGATTCTTTAGTTGTTGATTTTTTTGTATTAAATTATCGAGAAACTTGAAATACTTATAAGTGAAAAATGTATCTTGTAGTTAGTCAAGAAGAAACATAGAGAAAGAAAAGTAATTTTTCTCCAACTAATCTTAGATGTTCTAGGGATCAGTTAGAACTGTAGTAACTCTTATGATAGCAGTGAGATCTTGCAGAAAGGATATTTATGACCCAGAAAAAAAAAATCTTGATTTATGATTGTTTATTGTGAAAGTTAAATTATTTTAGATCTTTTTTGTGCATTCCTATGAAAGATCTACATAAATAATACTTTTAACTTAGAATAGAATGTATTTAAAGATTAATTTTTCTGACATGTTTTGTCTATGTTAATGTATATTGTTAATGCATATCAAGTAATTACCCTTACAGTCATTGTCTAGTATCTTCCCCTGAAATGTGGAGGTAATAATTCTTTAGAGAAGTACAATTTTGTTGTCAATAACATTCAATTTTATTGATGGAAGTGTAAATAAGGAGAAATTATTTTTTTCTTCTTTCAGAAAACTGTGTACAGTATAATGTTTTTAAATTCATACAATCAATAAGGATTATAATATGCTTTAATAGGCAGTTTTGAATATGTAATAAACAATATTACAAGGTCAAATAGAAATCTGCCCAAAATTTATGACTGTCATGTTGTTTTAACCGAAGCATAGTAAATTTTAATGTCCCAAAGATGCTTCCTCAAATCTCCGCCATCCAATGATGGTAGTCTTGACAATGCCACAATGTACTTATTGTAGAATGAAGGGAGGGAAATGGTATTTTTATTTTAAGAAAAAAATGCGAAGTTTACATTTTTCCCAACTCAATAAAATGTTTGTTTTCGACAGTAATGATTTTCAACTAGTTATTTTCAAATTTATTTATGAAATAATTGTTGGAGGGTTCATTAAATGAATTTTCTGGTCAAAACGTATGGAGAATTTCATACTTTGATGTTTGAGCTATTGAAGAATGGGGAAAAAATTAAATTTATTTTAGAATGAGGAAATGTGAAATTGTGAAAGATGATGATCAATAAACAAATGATTGTGACGCTACCTCTCTTAGGCCTGTGTCACATGATCATTACGTTGACGTGTCAACAAACGAGGATGACATGAACTGCATCAATGCCTCTGCACACATCACATAACACATGTCATAGATTAACTCTATTTATCAGAAACGGTACACAAACGCTCTTGGTGACATGCATTGTGCCCACAGCTCAAGATACAGCATTAGTCAATGTAAAGTGTGTTTTGTAGCTTTCAACGCACAACACATACAAACACAGATGCACACTGACACACAGAGAAAGAGAGAGAGATTGTGTAGTTCTTGAACCCACATGAAAAAAATGTTTTCAGCGATTGAAGCCACTGCATTGATTAGTTAATTTGTAGTTACCTCCTTACGATGACACAGTGCAGCGTTAAACACATTTAGTGGTGCACATGTACTTCACAGCACTGTGCTAAGTGTTTAGGGGTTGAAAAGTAGTGGAATTTGAGCCCTGCAAACATTTTTTCTCTAAATTGGATTTTCAAGTTAGTTGATCAAGTGATAAGTTTACATTTCAATAATTACATATTTGTTAATATAACTGCTATGGTTTTTTCATCATTAGTGGAATGCATTTCCCAATTTTTTTTGTATTTCCTTATTGTGAGCACATAATCTCAAACAATACTTATTTTCTCTTGCTTCTTCAGTAACTGACCGTTATTATACTCAAGTACAGGAGATTGCCTGAAGCCAGGAATGTATGGAATATTTGGACCACCAGCTTGAGGAATGTTTGGCAGCAATTCAGTCGGGAATAGAAGTTTAATTAGGGATAAAATATTGTTTTCATATGCATCTCTTATATTATATGAAATCACTTGTGTAACTACATGAATATTCCTTAGAAGTATGCTTTTAAAGTAACTATAATAATGCAAGCCTGCAAAATTTATGTCGTCTAAAACTGTTTGAAAAATTTCATCTGCAGTTTTCAGAATTTTGTATTCCGATTCCAAATATAGGCTCCATTATTTCCTATGTCGTTAAGTTTTTCCATAAAGTGTACTTGAGTATAAGGGAAAAGAATAAATAAATTCAGTTGTTATAGAAACATATATTTGCAAATGAAAATTAAGCAGATCACATGTAGAATATCACTCAGAGAATTCACTAACTTTATATTTTGTGGTACATTTCAGTTTCTCATCAAAGCTCCATTTGCCTCCTCTTCTTTTGCATGACACTTGTGATACTTCTCTGTGTAGCATCCAACTAGTTGTATTTATGTCCCATCACCCTGGTATTTGCGTTCCATTTTTTTGACATCTTTTGGAATCTCTCACCCTGTAATTTGCCAACAGCACTGACATTTCCGAAAAGTAGTCTAAATGAGAATGTAGGAAATGTTCAGGCTCATTGGACAGCCCATGTCTTTGAATTTCATTAACATGTCCATTATGGCTTTTTGGCTGTCTGAATGATGCCGGGATGCCTGGACAGCCAAGAAGTCATGAACTCAAGCCGCGGAAGCTTACGTGTACATTTCCATTAAAAAAAAAAAATAGTGTGTAGTTTCCAAGAATTTCTGCTTTTGTTTGAATGCAGTCCAAACCTCATTCTGAACAAATTCCATTTTTGTTTCAAATTCATCATTTTTAAAGAGTTTCCGAATACCTGGACCTATGGAAACACCTTCTTTAGCTTCTGAAAGTACCTGATTTTGTATACAATTATTGAAAACATACTCCTTGTGGCAAGGCCTTCTCAAATTGTTTCATTAGTCCTAGCTTTATTTGAAGTGGTGGAAGGAGGACTTTTCTTTGATCAATCAAACTTGCTTGTAAAATGTTTGCGCTTCCAGTTTCTAAATTTATCCTTGACAGCCACTCTTTTTTGATGTAGTTGTGAACCTCTGCTGTTCCATGAACACAAGAAGCAGGGAAATTAGTGTAGCCTGACAGTTGAATTCAGAACTGAACAACAAAGGAACTGCAGTTCTATAATAACAATCTAATCTGCTTTAAGTAAGAATTCTCTGTAATCAGAACAATAAGGAGCAGGACCACCAATGACATGATAGAATAATGTATTTATTCTCCGGACCTAACTATTAAAATACTAATTTGAGCGGAAATACTGGATGATGGGATTATTTTATTATTTTTTCTGAATTCAGCTCACCAAAATCTGTATAAGTCGGCTATTAATTTGCAGATAATTTTTCCATCACATTCGCATGGGATAACAGAAAATACTATTTTTTCTGCTGACGCGCAATTAAAATACTAATTTGTATTGAAAATGAAGGGCAATGGAATTTTTAGTGATGTTTTCTGAATTCAGCACACTGAATTCTGTTAACATCAGCTATATCGTTTCAGACAATTTTTTTAGATGCAGCCCTGTGTAATTTAGGTATTGATTTTGGTATAAATTCAAAACAAATGTGGGAATTCATAAAAGCATGTTTTAATTGAACTAAGTGACCAAAACTCATGTTTCTTTGAAAGATGAAAATAACATTACAAATCATCTCAATACATTTTTTATTGACATAGGACCTCTAATGACTGCAAATTTTGATCATATTAGATTGGAGATGGACATTGATGTTACCGCTGCTGAATCCTTATTTTAAGGCCGAGTTGTGAGAATGAAAACTATTTGATATTATTTATAACATGAATGATAAAAAAAGCAGGGGGAGTCAATCAAGTTAATATCAGCATAATTAAACATATAGCTCAATATATTAATATGCCTTAAGTCTTTTTTATTAATAAATGCATTGAAGTTGACAGTGTTTTGGATCACTTCAAAAAAGCAGTTGTTATCCCAGAATTAAAAGTGGTGATTGAAAAATTTCCACCAATTACCGATGAATATCTTTGATACCAAATATAGCAAAAAGTTTTCTAATGTTATTGAAATTACATAAATTAGGATTTGGAGGTGTGTGGAAGTAAAATGATGAGGGTGGCTAAGGTGGCAGGACTAATGGGACCGGCAGAGACAACAGGGATGTTGAGGATGGCAAATCAGCATGGTTGAAAGAATTGGTGAGAAGGCAGCAAGCGTCCTTCATGAAAGGAAAGTGGATACTTTGTGAAACCATCTTGATGCGGTATGCCAGACCAAGACAGTTCCAACACAGCTGTGCCTCTGTGGAAATGGAAATAGTTTCAAACTTCACATTAAAAAAATAGTTAATTTTGCAACTTATATTTTAATGGTTTTTAAATTTATGTCTTAACTGATTTTTTGTACCAAATACATATTATGTAAATATTCTACTCTACTATTTGTTTTTTAAGTAAAACCACAGACCAGACATGAATTATCAGTTACATATTTTTTAGTTTCAAAAACGTATTTCATCCAAAATTTGATTACATGTGTATAAATGTATTATTGGCTTCTGAAAAGCACTTGAAATTATATTTTCAACTTATGAAATATTGACAGATCTATTATCTTCATTGCAAGGTTGGACATTTGACCTAGATATGGTAATGAAACTGACATCATCTACTTGGACTACTCCCAAGGCATTCGATAAGTGACTGACGATATGTAACTGCCCACCACCCAAGGTCATGTAGTGTTCTTCCTGCTAAGTGCTCTTGGTGCTTTAGAATATCTGTTAAAGATGAGTCACAAAAAAATTGAAATTACTCGAGGAAGCACTACAGTTATGAAAAACATTTTTATGGCAGGGGGACTTTACATGAAACCCCACAGACATTTTCATACTTATTTGAAAATTTGAAAATGTTTCCTTTTAATTTCTTGTAAAAATAGACTAAAATGCTCCCATAAAAGTAGCGTAGATTTGATTTCC